TCTTTCATTTATCTCTCTGTGCTGTTCTCGATGACAAGATCATTAGACACCCGGTTGCTGTTGCTTTTCCTCCTGAGCTGTGTGTAACCGCGGACGATGTCTGCAAGACAAGAGGCTTAATTGTGTTCTGCCAGCATCGAGGGGCTGTCAGCCAGGCAAATTTAAAGCCAGGCTGGATGGGGGTGGGAGATGCACCTTCATTACTCACCAGCCTGGATGAGGTTTAGCTTTATTGTACCCGGAAATAACCAGAGCCTGGGAGGTGCTGATTGAAGCCATTTGAAAACATGACAACATCCCGGGGACGAGAGGTGTCTGATCTGATGAAGGCAGAGTGCATGAGGTAAGAGCTGCACAAAGTGAGGAAAACGCAATTAAAGCATTCCTGAGGACAGCTGTAAGGGACAGAGGGGCTGAGACACAGGCACGTGTCTGATGAAAACAAATGATCTGTTTGAAACATTCCTGAAATCAGTAACAGAGCCCCAGCCACTGCTGGGCTCAGCCTCGCAGGGTCCCACCAGCCACAGGCTGGTGCAGGCTCGTGCCTGTGTGGGGTTCCCCAGGCAGGGCTGGGGTATGGCAGGGTTTTGTCTTTGCAGGAAAACAGCCCAGGAGAAAGTCAGTGCCTCATTCCCCAGTGATGGAATAAGGGAGCTGCTGGGCTTAGTGCCCCTGCATGGCACATCAGGGCTTTTCCCAGACAAACGCCCTCCCTGAGGCTGCCAGACTGGCACCTTCCTCACAGTGTGTTGACCAGGCAGCATCCCTTCCCTCCATGCAGAGTTTTGTAAGGTTTTGTCTCTAAATAACCCCCTTAGAACCCTTGAGGCTGGTGAGGTGCAGGGGCCAGTGCTCTGGCCAGGGCAGGCAGCAGTCTCCCTGTGTCACCACTGTGGTGTCGGGGAAGTGGAAATGGAGGAAATGCTCCTTTTCCTTCACTGCTCAGAGTGGATTGTGCTTTGTGCTCTCTCTTCCCAGATCTGCTGTACAGGAGCTGCATTAAGGATCTGGGTTTCCTGTTGCACATTTGGATAGAGACACCTTCCGCTCTCCCTTTGGACTCCTGCTGTTATAAATAGTGATTAAACCCACACACTTCTGTAAATCGCTGGCAAAAGGAACTTGTATCAAATCATGCTTCTTTGGCAGGAGTTTAAATTGACAGTGACAAGCTTATTTCTAGAAGAAGGTTCTATTTTGGGGAGCTTGATTCATTGTGCCACTTGGCGTTTGATGCAGTGTGATGTGATACCTGACACATCCTGTTCCCTGCCAGGCAAAGCAGGGATTTATGCATTGCTGTGAGACAGAGCCACCCTGCTCTCATCAGGTGAGACAACACTGTTAGCAATGATTTGAACAGGCTCAGGGCAACTCTTATCCTTTTGGAGGTCCCTGAGCCTGTTTTTCCCTGGGGATGTACAGCATCCCTGATGTACATTCCATTACCCTGAGAACCTCTATTTACAGTCACAAACCACCATTTATCCAACACACAATTGCCATCACCCAGGAGCACCTAAATCTCAGGAAAAGCCTTTTCATTGCCCTGTTAATCTCTTTTCTCCTGGCATTTAATAGAATTCACTTAAAAATATTCCACAGCATAAACCCCCAGGGCTGAGTGCCATCCCTGCAGCTGCCTGGAGGGACAGCCCCACCACCTCCATGCTTGGGACACCAGGAGCATGTGGCTCCACTGTCCTCCCATCCTGGCTGCTGCCCCATCACACCTGAGCACTCTATAAAGCCCCCGGTGAACAGAGATGCCACATTCCCCTGGGAACTTGTCAGTGGGGAACAAACTCCATTATGAAGAAGGGACTTGCAAGAAAAACCTGAATTACCCAGTCCTACCAACAGTGCCCATTTGCAGGGCACTCTGTAAGCAGTTGTGCAACAGTCCTGGCCCGGCTGTGACAGCCTGGTCTGCCAACAGATCACGGCTCGTTAAAATGGCCTTTTAATTACTGACACTCTCCAAGTCAGACACCATCCTGAAAAAAAGGGTTGTGGGGGGAGGTGCCTGGGGAGAACACCCTGTAAGTGCTCTTCATTGTAATAGAAACTCCAGAAACCTCGGAACAACTTCCCATCTCTCCTCTTTTCCCTTTGCCGCTGCTGTTGGGGCTCCAGAGGTGGCAGGAAAAGGGCAGCTCCCACTTCCCCAGCGATGGCCAAGCCCATGGCACAGCAGTGGCTCTGGGACCAACACAGACCTGCTGACAAAGCACAGCTCCTCTGCTTTTGTCTGTGCCCCTTCAGGGGTGGCAGCTGCCCAGGAGCAGCCGCTGTGCCGAGCGATAACGGCAGCTCTTTGTTTGATGCTGAAGGTGCTTGTCAGCCTCGGCGAGATAAAAAGGCCAAAGACATTTATAATTGTGCAATTAAATGTCTCCTGTGCCTTCCAGGTGGCTGTTGCTGCTGTGCAGATGTCCCTGCTGTCAGCAGGCAGCCACAAATGGAGAGGCAGCTGCAGTCACCCATGGCAAGGCTGGTGGGTGCTGCTGGATTGCACCCAGCCCTGTGCCAGTGTCTCACAGCACCATGCCAAGGTCACCCAGCCCCTCACAGCACCGTGCCAAGGTCACCCAGCCCTGCACCAAGGCCCCCTCAACTGGGGTGTGCCACAAACCCCAGCACTCGCCTCACCCCTGGCATCCCTCAACAGCTGGCACGAGTGCACCCACCTTGTCCTCACCTGAGGTGGGTGCAGGGCACCGGGGCAGCCTGGGGGGCACTGGGAGCCCATCCCTTGTGAGGCAGGAGGAGCTGAGGGGTCTGGCCGTGCCACAGCCTGTGCAGGGCTCTTCAGGCACACTGAGACCGGGGGAGATGAATCTGAGGAGGAAAGAAGGATCTGTCCTGGCGACACTTGAACTGAGAGATGGCTGATTACCATGATAGATGGCACCTGCTTTTCCTGGTAATTAGCAGTCATTCGTATTCAAACCTTGCTCTTCCTCCAGAGCCAGGCTCTTTTAGCATTCCCTGGGCAGGGGGACACATGCCAGGAAGGCCAGGCTTGTCTGACCCCAGCAGGCTGCAGTGGCTCGTCCTGGCCTCACCAGCCATCCCAGCAGAGACAGAGCTGTGCAGCCTCACTGCTGGGAATGTCCAGAAGAGGAGCAGGGAAAATGATGGATTTTGTGTCTGAGGCTGCTGAGTGGGAGTGAGGGGTGAGAGGAGAAGCCCTGGCTCCTCCTTTGCCCTCCCCAAAACATGGTGGGGCTGTGGTAAATGCTCTCATCAGCACCACACAATCAAAGTTTTATTTTAAAAAATCCTCCGTATGAGCAGCACCTGCCAAGTGCTGAGGCCGTCCCTGACTGAGCACTGCTGCACCCTGGGGTCCCCTGGCTGAGCCATAACAGCTCATTGATCTCCATCTGTCACCAGAGCTGCATCCTCTGGTACAGGGGTGCAAGGCTGGGGCAGGGCTGGCACAGGGGGTGCCAGGAAGGTCACATTGCCACAGCCCACAGGAGGCACAGCTGCCAATAACTGGGTAAAATCTGCCTCTGCTTGGCTGGGACTGAGAATTTGCTGTTCATCACCCTGCTCCAGAGCTCTAATTATTTCTTTATAGTGCCAGTACAGCCCTGCCAGGCTCCGAGCTGAGGCTGCCTGAATTAATTGACCAACAGAAGGCAAATAGACTTTGCCCATTCTAAGCACCCATTCAGTCCTTTCCCAGCAGCTGTCACTGCTGTCACTGCACCAACCTGGGCTCCTGGGCCTGTTCCTTGGCATTGAGCAGCCTGGGAAAAAGAGAAGAGATGTGAACGAGTGAGAGTCGCATCAAATCATTTCTAAATATCATTGTGCAGAGTTTGCATTTAATGTGCTGGCCACACACGGTTTTCATTTACTCAATTGAACAATTAATTACATGGCTTGAGCACAGGAACTCTGCAGCATTTTCCCCTTGCTCAGCAGCATCCCCACACTCACACACCAGCTCCTGTATCAGACTGACCATTGCACGTGAACTGACAGCTCCACACTGCAAACACTCCCATGGTTATCTGGTCCTTGGGGTGAGGGGAGGGATTCCCACCTGCCCAAACACCATCTGGCCCCCCAGGCCAGGCCATGCACCTTTCTGTCCACACAACACACACCAGCAAAGCAAAGCAGATGTTTTTGTCCCCACTATGAACTGTCAAGAGCAAGAAATCACCCCCTCAACCACTCTGCAGCTGGAGCACAGGCTCCCACCTTGACACACACATTATTTAACAAAACAAGACATCAATTCACACCTAGCTGCTATTAAAACTGTCCCTTACCTGCCACCCTTGCTAAAGTGGCACTTCCCCCCAGAACACTGAAATGACCCACACAGACAAGCCAGGGCAGGATTAGTGGTTGGTTTTACTCAGGTATTTAGATATCTTTTTATTGCCATCTTCAGTCATGGTTCAATAAATACAAAATTAACAAAAATGTCAATAGATTTTTATTACATTTATTATTGTTATTATTATTATTATTATTATTATTATTATTAAATATTCCAAACCAACTGAGATTCCCTGGAGATGTCTGACTATAGTTCAAACATGAGATGCACACAGTGTCTCTTGTGATATTATATTACATTTATCTCAAGCTTATAAAAATATATATTGACTTCTTGAGTGTGTATTTACAGTATTTAACAGGTGGCTAATGAATATAAAAGCATCTGGAGATGAACCAACTTGATTCCTGTTTCGTTTCATGTGAGGGGGGTGTTGCAGGTGCTGCTCCCCCAGCACTGGGACTCCCCCAGCCCAGGCAGGAGCCTCACACTGTGCTAGAGGCTGGATGGGAAGAGACCAGAATCATTTTGAGGCATTTCCCTTGGTTGAGCAGCTCCAAAACAGCATTGCTAATTAATTTAATTATACCACTTCCCCAAGGAGAGGGTCTGAGAGGATGCAAGTTAATTTTAAAATCATAACAACAATCTATAGTCTAATCTACTCATTTTGTTATTCCATATTGGTGAGGATGAGCAGGGAGAGGGGGAGAAGACCTGGAATCAAACTGGTTCAACCCCCTGCCTAGAGACCTGTAATATACTTTATAGATAAAATGTAAACATGAAGAACACATAAATTGCACTTGATCCTTGGGATTGGGCATTTCACCAAATGCAGAGCTCAGTTCACTGCTCTTCCTCTTCAGGGTGGGAAACAGTGGGATGGCAAGTGACCAACCTGACTGGACATGGGCCAGGCTTAATTTATTTCTGCTAAAAACTCTAACCAAGAGACATTGGGGAGTGTTGTTTGAAGAGAGAGAGCTTGTTTTGCTCACAGTGTGTGCGGGCAGAGCGATCACCGTGCTGGACCCAGGGGCTGCCCCAGGGCCCTTCACTCAATCCCCACTCAGATCCCCATCCTCTGGGAGCAGGCTGACAGGAAGGCCTGACTGGAGCAGATTTCCAGCCTCACTGTGAGCATCTCCCACAGCCTTCATCCCGCTTGTAAACCTTTGCCTTCCAGCATTAATAATTCACTCACAATACTTATGGATGATAATAAATGCCCTACAAAACTCCGTACGGGGCTGCAAAGACACATTTAATGAACTAACTTGAAGGAAATTGTATTATTAAGGAGATGCTATTTATGTCTTCGTCAGGGATCAGGCTGCAGCCATGGGAGCTGCCAGCGTGGCAGGCAGGCAGCACTGTGCTCACAAAACAAAGTGTGGATGTGCCCTGGACTGCCTGATGTGCCCTGGATTGCTTGGATGCAGCACCATTTGCTCTGCTCTTTACCAGAGACACCAACTGAGGTGTCAAACACTCAGTGAAGTAACTCTCAGAGAAGAAGAGATGCGGCTGGGAAAGACTTTCCTTCAGCACAGATGGGGAAAGTCACCTCCCAGGAGCTGGGAGCTGGGTGAGAGCTGTGCTCTGCTCTCTAAAAATAAAAGCAATAAAAGCTCCTTGTGGGGTTGCTGGGATCTGTCAGGTTGTATAAAAGTATCCATGGATTCACCAGCAGAATGCTAGATACAAAAACATCAGCTCTGGATTAAGACAGTGCACAAAAGTCCATCCCACCCTGTGAACTCAATTACCACCTAAAATGGCATCACTACAGTTTGACTCATCTTACAAAACAGTGCCAGGGAGAGCCACGTCCCCCCAGGCATAACACATTATCCCAGGAACCCTGGGCTGCCCCGGCTCAGGGGACGGAGGCCCTGCTCTCCTGCTACATGGAATGACGTATTTGGCAGCACCCAGATATTCCCACAGCCCACCTGAGACCCCCAGGTTTCACAGGCAGGGCCAGCTGGGGCCAGTGGGCAGCTCCTCCCCAGGAGTGCCAGGCTGGTGCTCTGCACCTCTGCAGGGCCCTGCTTCACACCTGCACTCCCCGGCCGTGCATCTGGATCACCTGGGCCCGCAGGGTCTGGATCCCACTCAGGATGGTCTTCTGGTGCTCCACCAGCGTGATCCCCAGGCTGAGGATGTCTCTGCAAAACGAGCCCCACGTCAGGCAGGACAAACCAGCCCTGACTGCCACGTGCCCCAACACCGACTGCTCCCAGGCAAGGGCAGCACAGGTTCCAGGCATGCAGGAGCAAGAAATCCCCAACCTTTAGTCCCAGCTGAAGCAATACTGACACTGAGCAGGAACCCCGGGCTCACAGGAGCCTGTAGCACACCAAGCACGGGACAGCTCCAACCCCACCACCCTGTGCTGTGGCACAGCAGCTTATCAGGAAATCACTCTGGATTTGGCTCTGCTCTGGCAGGGGAAGGAAACACTGATCTCCCTGCGCCCACGACACGAGGTTACAGCCACGAAACCGGGTCACTTACTGGGCTGTCATCCTGGCCACCGACTCCAGGTAGCAGTAGCCCGCAGCAGTGAAGTTGTCTTTGTACCTGCCCATTTCTATCGTTTCCAGCCACTCGCCCACAGAGCTGAAAGATGGGAAGGCTGAGAAGGTTCGCTCGGAGAAGGGGATGGATGTGCCATGGGACCTGCCAACAGAGCGGGTGGTGAGGAGGGAGCGGGGCAGGGCACGGCAGCGGGGGACGGGCAGGCACGGCAAGAGAGTGGTCACCTGGGGCACGTGGAGCTGGGGCACTTCGGGGGCTCCAGACTCTGCACCAGCTTGCTGAGGACATTGTGGATGTGGGAGAACTTGGGCCTCTGGCTGCGGTCCTTCTGCCAGCACTGGAGCATCAGCTGGTGCAGGGGTGGCTGGCAGTTGGCTGGGGCGGGCAGGCGGAACCCGTCCTCCACAGCCTTCATCACCTGAGGGAGGGGACGGGAGGGGCTGGGGTCAGCTGTGCAATGCAAATCAAAGGCAAACTCTGGGGCAAACTCTGGGGCAAACCTCCCTCCCCACACCCCACCCAGGAGCAGCAGCAGCTCCTCTGTGTGCCGCAAAGCCACCACACACCACCAGCAATCACCACCCCCTCATCTACCACCACACACCACCAGCAATCACCACACCCTCATCTACCACCACACACCATCAGCAATCGCCACCCCCTCATCCACTCACGTCCTGGTGGGACATGTCCCAGTAGGGTCTCTCGCCGTAGGACATGACCTCCCACATGACGATGCCGAAGCTCCACACGTCGCTGGCTGGGCTGAAGTGGTGATACTGGATGGCCTCGGGGGCTGACCACAGCACCAGGCTCTTCCCTCGCTGCACGGGCAGAAGGGCAGGAGTGACGTGCTCGCCCAGCGGGACGTGGCCAGTGCTGGCCATTCCCAGGTGGCCACTTATCGGCCAACGTGCCCTGCCTGGCACCGCAAACCCACGGGCCACGAGCACGTTTAGTACTAAGAGAAAACTTCTCCCTCAATTTGTTTAAAATGACAGTGCAACTGTACAGCACATGGGAGTGCAAGTCCTGAAATATTAATGGGAGAGGAGAATGTCCCCAGGAAGAGCTGATGGCATTTTACACATTAATATTTAATGAAAACCACCTCAGAGCTGCACAAACACAAGTCCCTTTGCCCTGACTTGTTCTCCTGTAATGAACCATCCCCATGCTGGCATCTGCAGAGCCCTCTGCAGACGCACTTGGGGAAGCAGGTGACAGAGACCACTGCTAATTGTAATTAACAGCGGGGAGACCTTGACCCCAAAGCCACACAGCCCTGCAGCACAGTGGGAAAAGCCAGGGCTCCTGCTGGGCTGTCCATCCTGTGCCTCTGCAGGAGGCTCCATCCCCACGGCACAGCAGGGCTGGAACAGGCATGGTGCTGGGCTGCTGCTGTGCAGTTCCCTGCCCAAACACACTGCATTTCTATCTGAGAAAGGAGCTGAAGGTGCAGAGGCCCCGTTCATACCTGAGGAACAAAATGGGAGCATAAAAAAGGGAAATGCAGCTCACCATGGTGGAGAAGATGGTTTCCATCTTATCTTCCTGTGGCCGTCTGAAGCCCGTGATCTTGCACACCAGGCTGCTGCTCACAAGGACCTTGTGTGCAGCCAGGCTCTTGTGCACGTAGCCCATCTCTGCCAGGTAGGCCATGCCAGAGGCAATGCCCTGCAGCATGCAGACCAGCTGCGAGCCCGTCAACTGCCCCTCGTGTTTCTTTGAGAGCAGAGGAGGAAAAGCCAGAGGTGAGCAATGGGGACACAGCCAGCAGAGCCTGGGCTGGGCAGACCCCCCAGCACTCACCCTGAGAAAGGAGTCCAGCAGGCCATTCCCCAGGTACTCCATCACTATCATCATGGTGCTCCCTGCACAGACAGACAAGGAGCAGGGCGTGAGTGCCACCATCCCTCAGGCAGTCTGGACACCACAGGGGTCAGAAATCCAGGTGCCAATCCCTCCCTTGCCCTGGAGAAGACGAGGACTTTATCTTGGCCAGGCTGCAAGGAGCACTGGGTCCGAGGCTTTCCTGTCATTCCCAGCTAGGATCCTACTGGATTCCAGTATCAGAAATTCCTTTCATCAAGACTCTGAACCACATCACAAAGGACAGCACAGCCCAGTGAAAGCAAAAGCACCCAGCTCAGCCAGAATACTTCCTTTCCTAATAAAAAGCCTAGTTAGCACACGTGCTCCAGTTCCTTTGGATTTACATGAATACCCATTTAACTGCTGCATCTGGAGCCTGGTTCAGCACACACACTCATGGGAGAGAGCCAGAGCAGTCGGGCTCATCTGTTTTACTGACAGAATCTCACTTCAATTTGCTTTTATTAAAAGTCCACGGGTTTGGTTGCTAAGCCAGTCCCACTACCTGCATTTATTAATCTAGCTGGGAGCTTTCTATCAATCATCAAAATGCAAAACCAGCTGATACACGTGGGAACATCTGATCTCCCAGGAGCCAACTGGACCTCCAGCATCAGGTCACTGCTCCAACGCAGCAGCACGAGTTCATTGCTGCACAGGAGCCTCCCGGGACCCCAGGAGTGATGACCCCTCTGGTGATGACCCCCATACCTCTGGTGATGACCCCCTCCAGGCGGATGACGTTGGAGTGGTCGAACTGGCCCATGGTGCAGGCCTCGGCCAGGAAGGAGAGCTGCTGCTTCTGGGAGCAGCCTGCCCGCAGCGTCTGGATGGCCACGGGCAGCTCCCGCTTGCTGGGCAGCTTCAGGCACCCCCGGCACAGCTCCCCGAACTCCCCTGGGCAGCAGAGAGAGGGGTGAGACAGGGCCATGGCTGCTCAGCACCTGAGCACTCAGCACCTTCCCCAGGACCTGCCCTGGATCACCCTTGGCCTTCTCCAGAGCCCCTCGGGTGTTCTCTCCACCCTCTGCTCCAGTGCACGTTGTGTTTTATCCCACAGGAGGAGGATTAACCCCTTGTCACTGAGCTCATGCTCCAGAGCCTGGTTGCTCTGCCTCCCAGCTTGACATGTGGAGGAGCCAAGCACGGCAGGGCCAGAGGGCTCCTGCAGTGCTTGAGGGGGAACATCCCACTGCAGAGCCACACGCTGCACAACAGGAGCTGTGGGATTCCCAACATAAAAAGCCGATATTGGCTTTACAGCAAAAAGTGTGTAGCTATGAATAGCTTTATTGATTTGAAAATCAGGTTCTTGTTGGATCAGCAGTGAGACAAACACACCTCCAAATTCCTTAGATTTAAACGTCTTCCTGATTAATTTATTTCCTGATTTTTCAAACACCAGTTTGATTCTGAAAGGTGCAGGGGTTCATCTGAGCTGCTCCTTGCCACAGCTCAGAGACAACCTTGTCCCCTCCTCAGTGTCCTCTCCCCTTCAACGCTGTCCTTCAGCTGCAGGAAAAGCCCTTCCCTCCTCCCTTTCTCCACCTCTGCTGCTGCTGCAGCTGAATTTCTCTTTAAGAAAAGAAATGACAAAGAATGATGGTGTTTCCCACGTTCTGGCACACAGTAGCCATTAAGGCTCTAAGGCCCGGCTGGGGGATTTTAATTTGCTTTTAAATTTTAGGCAGTGAAGTTGATGAAAATCAATAAATCATTAGGTTCACATACTTATAAAGAGTTTTCATGTTGCTGTCAAACTGCCCAGATGCAGGTAATTGCTGATGCTTTCTGGTCCACATGGCACTCGCTTGGCTGTGCTCAGTGTCTCAGAAAAACACCAGGAATGTGGAACCAAGCTCCCAGACAAAATCCTCGCCACCCCCACTCGTAACCTCCCCTGCAGGCAGGTGCCCCTGAGACAGGAGCAATGTCACAGCACTGCCATGGCCCAGCACACGGGGTGAGAGGGGAGGCACAGCCCCTGGCATGGCCACCACCCCACAGAACTTGCCTGTCCTGATGATTCTCTCAATTTTTATGCTGGCATTATCCAGCTCCTTGGCAAAGAGGTGCACAGCCTGCATGGGATCTTCGCAGGTGTCGGGGTCGATGTACGTCCTCCTGGTCGGTATTTTAACTGCAGGAAAGGCAGAAACAGCAGATGAGAAGGGCTCAGCAGAGCTTCCCCCCACCCATCCTGGGAAACACTCCCAGCTTATCCGTTTCCAGGGCTGTGGGCAGGACCAACGTGCCACCTTTCTATAAGCAAAGCAAAAGACTCGGTTCTAAGGTTTCTAAAAGGTTTTTTTTGAGATTAAGCAAACCCAACTGCTCTGCTCCACTGCTACAACCCCTGGGTAAAGGAGAGTGGCCCCTTTGCTCTGGTGCAGTTCCCACCCTCCAAAGCCAATTGAAACAGCCAAGGCAGGCTCTGCTACTCCTGAAGTGCTTTGGGGAGCAGAAGAGCACGTGTGCACAGGCATGTGCCAGGAATCAAATAAACTCATCAATCCTGACATCTGAATTCCCTCTGACAACTGTTGTCTGTAAAACTGTTGCTGCTCAATAAACCAGAGTAGCCACAGAAAACAAGGCTGTTTGCTCACGTTTGTAAGAAGCCAACAGAACAATTCCTACACCCCCTGGAAGGCTGCAAATATCCCCATTTCCTCTGGCATGCAGTGATCCGCACACAGGAAGGACAGACACTGGCTCATGGAGCTGTCACAGTCCCCAGAGAGCCTCGCTGTGCCTGCCCCTGCTCTGGGATAATGCAGGATGACAACACTTCAAAAGTGAGGACTCAGGGCTGCTTTGGTGGGAGCTGGGTTATTAACAGCAGTAAATTCAGGGATCCCCACAGTCGCACCAGCCGCTTACAGTGGAAGTACAGCTCCTCGTCCCCATCCTGGCTGGCTTTGCTGTACCCACATTGCCTGCAAAGAGAGTGAAGATGCATTCCAGCAGCTGGGCAGCACCCCCTGCCCCAGCCCAAACCCCCCTGGTCCGTACCCAGCCCCTCTCACCTCCTCCAGACCATCACTCCGATCACGGTGGACACCAGCACCGTCAGCCCCGCGATGGCCACCACCACGATGATGAGCACGGGGTTCTGCTCACTGGAGGCCACTCTCACTGTGGGAGGGAAGCAGAGCCCGTCAGCTCCATGCCCTGGGGCAGGTCTGAGGAGAGGAACCACCCTGGTCACTGCTGCCATGGCCTGCCCACGTCCTGCAGCCAGCAGGGCCGTGGGACCAGCCACCCGCCCGCTCTTCACCATCCTCACAACGATTCATGTTCTGGCTCAGCTTTATGAACTCAAGCTGGTGGGATCAGCCCAGCATGCTGGGCAGTGCTGCAGGCACAGATGGAGCAATCCAGTGCTGCTGCACTAGCTCCTGGTTTTGTTAATCAGAGCTGAGGAAGATTCCTGTTTATCAGAGGGACATATCAAAATTTATGGCTTACAAATAGTTTTCCTTCATCACACCAGCTCTTCCTGCTTTTGCAAACAGGGGTATTAAAAAGCTACATTCTCTATAAAATTTTTATTGGCTTCAATTCATTCTGAAACATCTTCTGTGTGGCAAATGGAGGCAATTTAAAGCCTTGTTAAACACAATCTGCAGGAGTCGTACTGAGTCAGCCAGCTCAGGCTTGCACTTCCAGCCAAGGTGGGGGATTGTGCTGAAGCCCAACATTCCTCCTCCAGCCCTCTTTTAGTGAAATAAGATGCTTCTGAACCACAGTTATGAATGGGAACTGAAAAGGAAAAGCCCCAGCAGAAAACACTGATGCTGGCTGTCCTGAACCAGCCAAGCAGAGGACAAGCCAACTGCCTGCTGAGCCAGGACAGCAGCAGGGTGGAAGGGAAGGAGGAGCAGTCACATGTTAAGCACATTTTTGGGCAACCTCAGCCAAAGAGCAGAGACTGTCCCAGCCTCCACACTAGAGAGTGGCTGCTCTCACTGACACTGCACTGAGCCAGGACAGGAACCCCCGGGACAGGAACCCCCGGGACAGGAACCCCGGGACAGGAACCCCCAGGACAGGCAGAGCACCAAGACCAAACACATTCAAAACCAACGGGAAAATGCAAGGACAGCAGGTTCCTGGACGTGCCCTTAGACCTGGAGCAGCAGAACCAGAGGAACAGGTGCTGCTCCATAAATCCAGGAGCAGCTGGGGCAGGAGCTGTGAGCACAGCATCCCCATGGCCCAGCTCAGAGCCCTGACAGGGACAGGGACACGAGCCTTGCTGCACTTACATTCTGCCAGCGTCTCCACTTCAATGCCAGGGTTGTAGTTCCCATAGTCTGGAGAGGAAGATGTTCGGATTTGGAAGATATAGAGGGTACCAGGCTTCAGGTTATTGACCGTCACGGCCGTTGATGTGGTTTTCACAGTTGAGTAACTTTGATCTCTCTGATCCTGTGAAATAATGAGATACCTGAGATGGAGCTGGACTGACAGCTGTGCTGCAGAGTTGGCACAGCACAGCCACATCCTTGCCTCTGGGCCCTGTCAGGAAGCCTGTCCAAGCAGCCAAGCCCCAACAGAAACAATACCTTCACTGGATGTCTCATTAATAGAAATTACATGGGAAGGTCACAGGAAATGGCAGCTAGAGCTGGATGAGGTGCTATGAGATCGGGGGAGGATGGGGTGGTGGAGAGCAGCTGTGTCATCCTGCACAGCTCCTTCCCCCTGCACCAGGGCTCAGCTGTGGTGCTGTGCAGCCCCATCCTGCTCCCCTGCTGCAGTCATTTAGCCCTGGAGTAAATCCACATAGACTGGCAAACACTGAGGAATCACAGCTGGCAGGTGGAGACCCGAGGAGCACAGGCAGTGTCCCAGCCCCACATCCAGCATGGGCAGTGTCCCAGCCCCATGGTCCAGCACAGGCAGTGTCCCAGCCCCACATCCAGCACAGGCAGTGTCCCAGCCCCACGTCCAGCACGGGCAGTGGTCACTCACTGCACCACTCACATCACTACCAAATGTGTTTTCCATTTGATATACTTTTCCTCTAGAATCTCCACAGTTAAAGCAAAAGCTTTAAAAGCAAAGATTAGGAACTAAGTTGATTTTCATGTCAGCATCAAGAGCCTCATTTCAGTGAACAATTGCTAAACTGTAGCTAAATTTCCCACCCAAGCGGGACGGATCCTCATTTCATACCCCAAGTATTGTGTTGCTGCAGCCCATTTGCACAGGAATTACCATCTCGGGCTCCAGCATTTGCCCTCCCCCACAGATCCCTCCTCTCAAATCTATCAGATGCTGAAAATCACATTAATATGAATCAGCTTCATGGTAGCTGGTTTCTAAATACAGAACCCTGACACGTCACCTGCGCACTGTGCCTGACACACCGTCAGCTCCACAACGAGCTGAGCACACGCAGATAAGGTAATTTGCAGAACTGTGTCATAAACTGCATTTATTTTGATTTAGAGCCTTGCCCTTGCTCTGCCCACCGGTATTTCTTCTAAAATTCCCAACCCACTGTACCTGTCAAAAAGCAGCAAATTTTAAAATCAAGAGACTGTCACTCCTGCTGTGTGAAGGGCCACTCACAGCTCACTACAGCAGCAGGTTCATGGCCCTCGGTCCTAAATCAGCGCAGAGCACAAGATCCACCACTGTCCCAGAGAGCAGGCTGGGAACACAGAGGCCATCTCCTCGAGGATGTAGGACTGTGGTGTCACAGTCCTGCCTGGCTGGTGTCACACGGTGGGTGGGTGATGGGGACCAGGATGGGGGGCACAGGCAGCACCCGGTGCTGTGCTCCTGAGAGCAGACCTGGCCGGCAGGAGAAGGACCCAGAGCTGACCGGGGCACAAGCAGAGCCCAAGGTGGTGCCCAGCACGTACCTTCTCGTAGTACTTGACCTCGTACTCGGTGCCGTTGGAGGTTTGGAATCCTGGCTCCTGCCACGACAGGGAGACGCTCTTCTGCTCCACTTTATCCGTGCGGATGTCGGTGACAGGATTTGGTGCTGGAAAAGCACAGAGGAAAGGGGCAGTGACTGCAGTGCTGCCTCAGGAAAACCCTCAACAAACCCTGCCCTGTGCCAACAAACAGCTGGGAGTATGGGAGGGCCTCCTGCCAGCCTGCCCTGCCCTGAGCACAGCCTGTGCCCCATGAGCTGCCAGTGTATTTCTGGTCAGCACGTGCTCCACGCTGCAGCTCCCTCCCTGACACATGAACCCATTTAGTTCATCCACTGCAAGATGCACTTGTCAACTACTCCCATTTTACCCAAGTTTGGCTCCAAAACAGTCTCCAGCCTGTGCAGCCTGGTCACAGCCCTCAGACACAGCAAAAGGTGCACGGGGATGTGACTGTTTCCAGCTTGTCCCACTTCCCATGAAATCAGGACATTTGCTGGACCCGTCTCTGTCCCACAGAGATGCCTGTGGAGAGGAACAAGTCCCTGGAAAGCAAACTTAAGTATCTGTGAAATTTTGTATTTATTACTTAGTTCATTAATCTTCACTGAAGAAGAAAGCCCTCCTTATGTTTTATTCATGGTGATTTGCTCCTTGATTCCAAGTCCCTTTGGCTCCCACGTAGCTCCCAGTGCCCACACGTGGCTCCCTCCACTGTGACCCACCCCATGGCCTGGGACATCATCAGACATAATCCCCCAGTGAATTCACTGGCCCCAGAGCTGGCTTTGAAGGAGACATTGAACTGTCCCTGTGTAAGGAACAGGGAGGGAGCTCAGCCCCAGCACGAAGCACAGCAGGAAGGTCAGTGAGCTCTGTCTGTGTGGTGGTGAAGGGCCAGTGCTGACAACACCCACCTGTGGTGAAGGTTCCCCCAACTCCTGCCTCAAGTCCAGCTCCTGTAAACTAAGCTAAGTGCTCCTTGCTGTGTTATATGATTCTCATCAATAAAATATCACACAACTGCCCTCCTGTATCTCTGAATCCAGCAAATGGACTGGAGAGACCTGAACGTGTGGTCTTGACTGTTAACAAAGTCATCAGGAAAAATCCCACTCACTCAGGAACAGGCTGTAGAGCAGAGCCCATGGTACATGCCAGAAAAGCAGGCACCAGCCTCAAACAGGTTTAAAAAGCATTAAAGAAAATCACACAGGCTATAAAGCATTTCACACTGTGAAAAAAATGTGTTTCCCATCAATATTTTAAGCTCCCCTAACATTGCCTCTATTCTGAAAAAGCAAACATTAAATTATTCACCACTCTGCCTGATTTTATAAACTCCATTCCCTTGTACGTGGGTTTTCTCCTCTTGATTAAGCAGTGCAGCAGCAGAACAGGCATAAAACTAGATGTGGGACCGTGTCCCTCCCTGGAATGATCCACTGTATCCAAAACCTGCCCTCAGCGAGGGCACCAAACACCTCTGTGCCCTGCCCTTGTGCCCAACAGAGCCATCTCTCCCCTCCCTCACCAGTTACCAACATCCCAACACAGAACACGCCCTGGGCACCATCCCAGGCAGCTCCCACCTCAGAGTTCTCCATTCCAAACCAGAGAAGCTGCCTCTCAAGTCAGCAGGCAGCTCTTTTAGGGTGAAAACCCCAGAAGTGCAGACCTTCACCCCAGAACTGGCTCATCCCACATCCCCACGGCCCCCTGGGCACTGCACCAGCCCCAGGCACACGCAGGAAATCTGCTTCAGAGGACCCAATCCCAGCCAAAATGCCTTTCCACTCTCAGGAAGAAGGATGCATTCAACCACTGGCTGCATTATTAATCTGCAGCAGATTTAAAAGCCCTTTAAGGCAGGAGCTGATCCCTGCCAGAAATACAAATGACACAGGCCCAGAGTGCACATTTACATGGCTAATGCAGCTCTGCTCCTGCAGGTGAACAGCTCTGCTCACTCCTCAAACACTTTTATTTAGTCTCATGCTGGGGCCAGATTAGAAAAAACACAGTATTAATTTTGCCTCCTGCAGACTAAATTGCATCTCTTCTTTTCCCTGCAAATACAGGGAACGACGGCCAGTTCCCTCTGGTGACTGCTGGAGGGGAGGGGCAGCACAGATCTGCACTCAGAGCTGGATTAGAGGGGCTAAATAGGGTCTTGTTTCTTGTTTAATTTTTCCTCTGAACCTGCATATCTGCAGCCAGAGCCCCCCTGCTGCTGCAAATGAGTTCCAAGATCATGGCATGACAGCCCCCATGGGCTGTTCAGACATCCCTGCTGTTCAGGCATCCCTGGAGTCTCCTCTCTCTTGACCTCTGGCCCCATCTGGCATTTCTGTGGTGGCCTCTAATGACGAGGGGCTGCAGGGTTGGGGCTCCAGGAGATGCCATGCTCTGCAGAGCAGCTCCACACGCCATCTGTGCCAGCCATGGCTGCATGTCCTGCCTGCACAGGGTCCCCTCCTCAAACTCAGCTGCACAGCTGCCTCTCCAGGAGAGGACCTTCTCCCCACCTTCTGCCCCTCTTTGCCAGTGGGCACAGGTTAACCATCACCATCACCCCTTGCCCAGAGTGCCAAGGCAAGAGGAGCCAGGGCACAGGGCAGCCCCAGCCTGGCATTGCCCAGGAGGGGACACCTTCAGCAGCAAAAACTGTCCATGTTCCAAGAAACTCCCCGAGCCTCAGCTGCTCAGGTAATTCCAAACCACCATCTGCATCTGGAGACTTGACAGCTCAATGAGAGACATTGATTTTGAGCAGATTACAGGATTAATTATCCACATTCTTCATGTGCATTTCAGTTCCCTCAGGAGTACACAGTGTTGAGTAAGAGATTCCCACTTCCCAAGGGGAAAAGCTGCTCTGAGGAGCCAAGGTACAGGCTGGCATCACCGACTTGCTGCTTTGCTCCCTGAGAGGACAGGGCATTTGCTGCCCATACCTGGCCTCTTGTGTCAAGCTCAAACCCGGAGCCCCAGGCAAGGAGAGAGCTCCAGAGCACTGGTCCCTCTGCCTGCACCAGACTGGAGGAATGGCTCATTATCAGACCTCCCCCTATTAAGCTCACCCTTCCCCAGCCTGTTCACTGGCCTGAGCTTGAGAGGCAGAAGATCTTCCCAGAGCAAAATCCATCCTTGAACAGCCAAGATCCTAATGAGAAATGACATCTCTGCTGAGGAGCAGTCTGCAGCACAGCATCCCCCCACGGATCCACGGGATTATGGTATGAGGGAAGAGAAAGCAACAACGTGCAAAGAAACATTTGATTGAGTGGTGGGAAAATTATTTATAAGATCAAAGTTTAATCTCTTCAGATGAAATTGTTGGCCAATTCCTGCCAAGAGGTATGTGAGGATCATCTGTCTCCATTAACTGTGGTTTGGCAAAGGGTTTTCATGCAAATTAATAATGTAACTGCAGGGGAATGGACAAGGACACAACAAGCCAAAGCTGACTGTCCTTTGGCACAGCCAACAGCCAAGGAAGGACCAACCCCTCTGGCCAGGACCTCATCCACAGGCAGCCAGGAGCCTGCTTCCCCTCACCTGAGGGAACAGAAATGCCACATGGGAAACGGAAGGGAATAATTATGCCAAGAAATTGTGTCCAGAGACCAGCGCAGGATAAAGAGAGAAAATAATTTTTTTTGTTTCCAAAGGATAGACAACATTTGAATTATCTGGATTAAGGAGGATTTTTTGTGAATGGGCTGAAAATGTTGCTCCATCAAAGGTATTTTTCTGTGATCTGTAAATTCACCTGCAGCCGGATCACAGAGCAGGCTCATCCCCTTGCAGCCCAGGCTGTCACCACACTCACTCCTTGCCTCCCCGTGGCACCCACCACAACCCCCTGAGAGTGCCAGTCTTTGTCCACCCCTCTGCCAGCACCGAGCACCACCTGTGCCACCGGGGCAAACCCAGTGGAATCAGGGCACTGCCACAGCACAGGCCTGTGGAGCACGAGGACAGTCCCCACCCCAGCTCCAGACCCCAGCCCCTGTGTGCCACCCCAGCTCCAGACCCCAGCCCGTGTGTGCCACCCCCACGCCAGCCCGTGGCCGTACCTGCATGGCCAGTGGTCACGTTGACCTCGGCGTACTGCGGCCCCGGCAGCGGGCTGACCCCCGAGACCCCGTTGAGGGCTGCCACGCGGATGGTGTAGTTGGCGTGAGGCAGCAGGTTCACCAGGGTGACCGTGGGCTCCACCAGCCCCGTCTGCTGTGGCACGAAGCCCACGCTGCTGCCACACTGCTCGCAGCGGCCCCGCGGCCCCGCCGGGCACCGGCCACACCACAGGCTGTAGGTCAGGTCGCTGCGGCCGCCGGCGTCGGCCGGGGCACTCCACTGCAGCACCAGGGACGACTGCCGCAGGCTGTACACCAGGTTCCTCGGGGCAGAGGGCGGGCCTGCAAACACAGGAGTGTCTTTGCACGGGTGCCAGGACAAGCCTACGGGTCCTGTGGGAGCAGCAGCACAGGCTGGCAGAGCGTGAGAGCGTGACCCGGGCAGCCACAGCACGGGGTGGCACAAGGGGACACGGAGGCACCGGTGTGTGCAGCACGGTGGGACACGGGACAGGGGATCCCTGCTGGAGTGACGTGTGTGCACCACAAGTCGCAGTTCACACCGTGTGTGAGAAGCACCCCACTGGACCCAGCACCTCCCCAGGGTTCAGCCCAGGAGCACACCAGTGGTCACACCAGTGGTCGGACACTGCCCAGCCATGCCCGGCAGAGCTGGAGGGCTCCTCATTGCTGTGCCAGCAGCTGGACAGCAACAGCATCCATCACTGAAGCAGCTGGAGTCCAATCCAATTAACTAGAGGCCATTTAATTAAAATCTGTGAACTATAGCGACTAAATGACTGTGCCCCAGTTTTACCGGGGAGTCTGAGAACCTGACCATGCGTCTGTCTCATCAGACTGCAGCCTGAGCCTGCGAGCTCCACGGCACAGGGACAGCCCCTCCATCCCCTCCCCACTGCAGACAGGATCCCCAGGGATGTGCTCCCACAGCTGAGGACACAGTGCAGGTGGGGACAGCCTGGGACAGCCCTGGGCACCCCCAGCTCTGTGCTGCAGGACACACACAGTGCCTGGACCCCGTTCCCACGAGGAGACGTACGTGTGCAGGACGCAGACGGGGGGTCTGACGGAGACCTGGAATAGTTCTTCTGGCACGAACAGAACGTGGAGGCTTCCTCGTGTGTGAAGCTGTGCTCAGGGCATGGAGAGCAGAGAGAGAGATGGAGGGAGACCTTGTAAAATCCTGGAAGGCAAGCTGAAAGAGAGAGGGGGAGTTATGGGAAGAGCACCACAGGCTGACTGGGAACACATCTGATGACTGCATTTCCCTGTTTCCTGGGACATCTTTTGCTGCTGCTGGCCAGCAGACACCACCCTCTGAGCTTTCCTTGAGCATCTACATGATTCTGGCACCAAGCAAGGTGTGCATTGGTTTGACCCAGGAGAGACATTTGGGTAGCTCTGCACTGACTTCCATAGTAAATGTCATTCCCTGCTTAGGGCACTAGACAGACCAGGAAAAACTATCAACCATTAAAATGATTCCCAAAACTTCCAGCTCCCTCTTTAGATTCGAGAAACCAAACCAAAACTAACATTACATTCATAGAATGGAGACAGAGCTTGCTTTTTCCTTTAGTTAGGCAGCACTGACCACGACACAGGGCAGAAATATCCTGCGTCAGGCAGGACAGGAAAATCAATCCTGTTTACAAACATGACAGGATCCAGCTAAGCCCAGAGCCCCTATCCCTTGGATGTGCCTGTCACACAGTTCTGACATTTCATCATCGGAATTTGAACATTTGCATTTAGAAGCATCTTTCAGACTGTTCCCCCCTGTTTTCTAACAGTCAGATGTAACTTTACCGAAGTATCTGTCATTAATAATGTCACAAAATGCCCCAATTTGCACGTCCCAGGAACAGGCACCACAACCCCGTGTGAGCACATCCCACAAGGAGTCGTGGGCTTCACTTGCTAATTTTGTTCCTTGGTTGCCCAAAACTTGCCCTTGAGAAGAACAAAGGCACCCAGCACATGTGATGCATCATGTGTGTGTCTCTGTTTCTTTCTTCAGATAAACTCCCACCCTCTTCCACCTCATCCTACGAGTATTTTTCTTGCTCTCCAGCTGGTTTAGGTGTCCTTGTCATTTTGCAGTGCTCATTTCTGCAGTGGGTACGTGACAGCTCTCGAGAGATCAGGTCATCAATTTATAGAATGAAATTCTCTTTTCTGTGAACTATTTTCTATCCTGTTCCTTGTCCTCTGGTACTACCACAACTAAATTGTTAAACAATAAAATTCAATAATTCATTCTCCCAGAGGCAAAGAGAAGCAGCCATATGGGTCAGACGGATCAATCATCTCTCTCCAGCTCCACCACTGCTGACCACAGAAGCTCCTCAGGGCGTGTCTGATCCACGTCACTGACAGAGGGAGAACGTTCCCCCTTCCATGTAACACTGTCTGCACACACAGTCAAACCAGCAGCAGAACAAGCCACACTGATTTGTGCTGCAGGTTGGCTGATTACCCAGCACAAAGCAACCATGGGAAGGGCTCCTCTTCCCACCTCATCTGACACGGCCCCTCGGACGGGACTGGATGTCTCTGTCAAGAAACAGCAATGTCCTCTTTGGTTCCCAGCCTGTGCCATAGGGACAGCAGGGGCAATTGAGGATGCAGAGCTGGAAAATGCATGGTTTCCTACTCCTGTGGCACAGGACAGCTTTCATTTTCCCTCCCCTGCAAAGTCCTGCCAGCAGCAGAAGTGCTGCATGTGCCAGCGTGGATCAATAACGACCATGGCCTCACTCAAAACACCTACACTGGCATTTATAATTAACACTACAACTTGGTTGTCTTCCAAAATCAATTTCTTTCTAGTTTTTGTCATGGAATTGTATTTGACAAAGTTCATCTGCTTTAATGTGTGTTAATTTTCTCTGTTGAAGTAGACATTCATAAAAATGATCTTTAGGAAAGCCACACCTGGGAGAACACGCAGCCAGCACCGAGGGGTGTTGCAGAGAGAACTAGAACAGCACCTGGGGGCTGAGGTGCCCCAGCAGCCTGACAAACTCTCCTGGCAAAGGGCAGACTGGGAGAACTGGGGCCCCCCGAGCTCTCAGACTGGCATCCAGCCCCCTGTGAGCAACTCTCAAACCTGCAACCTCCCCATTGTCATCAAAGCTGTTCCCAAAACATCTCTCCCAAGAGTCCTTGCTCCTGCTGATCCCTCACTGAACTGGGTCGGCACAGCCGGCCTCCATCTATCTTAATTCCACCCTCAAGCCAAGCAAGTCACTGTTTATTATGTTCCAAACATTTCATCAGTGCTTCAGAGGTGAGGTGCCTCAGGCCAGTGCAGCAGAAGGGACAGGGCAGCAGCCCCAAGGAGGGACAAACACTGCCAGCCAGTGCCTGCAGACAAGGACACACTGCCCAAACCAGACAGGGCACCTTGTGCAGAACACTGGTGGAACAGAGCTTCAGTGTGTGCTGAGCTGCCAAAGAGCCTTATTGACAAACATCCTCAGGGGAGAGAGAGGCTCCTGCCCCCTCCATGCTGGGTTTGGGATCTTGCCTTGTCTCATGGCCCCAGCTGTGATCAATGCCCCAGGCAGAGCAATGCCCTGCAGCCTGTGGAGAGGAGGGACAGCACTCATGTCCAATCTCCACACCGGGGTGAGAGGAACAAAGTCAGCATGAGGAACGATCGATCAGAGCACTGAGTCAGGTCTCTGGCTCCTCTTTCCTTGGCTCCATGCCTGCCAGCACGGGAATCTTGGGCTGCCTCACTTGAGAGAATCCAAAAGCACTTTGCCTTCCACACAGTTTGGGGGTTTTTAATAAGTGGTTTTAAATATCACTTTCTAGCAGCCTGTGGTCCAACATGTTCCCAGCAACTCTGACACCTTTAGGCAATGCTACTCTGTAATTTTTGCCCTTGCTAAATAACTTGAAGAGCACCAGAATGAAAACCTGTGTCCAAGGGCAAGATCTTTGTGCATCCCCAGCAATGAACTCTTACCAGCTGAAATTAAATTCGGTGATTTAGTCCAGAAGAAAATTAAATACACAAAAATATTTAGTAAGACAGTCTTGAAATATCTAACAGAGTGCATTTGCTGAATCCAGCCAAGACTGACAGAACCTTGTTGCTATTTATGTTCCTCAAGGACACACTGAAGCAGGCACATCCACTGAGCCAAGTGCAATTTACTGTTGTCTCTCTCAGTTCCCTAATGGATCCACCCAGGGAAGGACTGGCTGACCGGCCTCTCCAGGACACCCCGTCCCTGCTGAGCACTTTGGCTCACACAGATCCCTCAGCAAGGCACGTCCCCACACCATTTCAACAGCACATCCAGCATGTCCATCCAGCAGCCAGGTATCCATAACTTAACCTGACAGGAATTCTGCAAACTACTTGTGGTGCTTATAATTTTTGGAGTAGTTTGCTCTGAAATTGTCACAGAGCAATTTGTGCCTGGCTCTGCCACCATTTCCATTGCCATAATTATTTCAGACATACTGTGAACCAGTGACGTAAAACGCAATCCCAAAGCCTGATAATGACTCCCCAGAGAGAGAAGAGAGAGCCCATTTTCCACAGGTGTTCCATGTGCATGGCTGATGGGAAGCAGCACCCACCATCCAGCATTACAGCTGCTGCAGGAGGTGTCACTGATATTCCAGATTCAGTCAGCAGAAAGCTCTCCACCCCTCTGGACTGTCACTTTGCCCAGGTCACAAAGGGGCTCCAGCCATGTTCTGACAGAGCACAACACCCAAGAGGAGAGAGCCAAAATGTAGCTCACACAGAAAATCAAAGCACACATTTCCAGGGTGATTATTCCTCCAGTGACAGGCCCAGATTGGCTCCCACAGCCCCTGCTCACTGCCCTGATCCCACCCCACATCCCACCCCACAACCCGTGTCCCCAGCTCCGGCCCTGCCCAGGACCAGCTCAGTGCAGCTGTGCTGACCCTGCAGGCACAGGGCCTGGCTGTGGGATGCCCACGGCTGCATCTGTGATGAAAGCAAAACCTGGGGCTTTGTGCAACTTACAGAGTCCCAGGAGGAAAAATAAACTTATTATGCATAATCCTCCAGTATCAGTCAGCAGATAAAATACACTCCAGGAGCACATACAGGTTTGTAAGCTAATGTATAAAAGATGAAACAAATAAAAAGCCCCAAGTGCTGTACATTTGTCAGAGCCCCTTTGGAGCAGTGGTGCAGGACAGGAGAATGGACAGAGAAAAGCTTGGCTTTCCTGCAGCAGGAATTAGTGGGGTCTGAAGGCCTATTTTTTTTTTCATCTCTCCTAATTTCACAGTGAGGGCACAAACATTATCTTGGGCCAGGATGCTTTTGGCACTTAAATCAGGGTTACAGGGATGCCAGCTCTGACCGAGTTCAAATGCGTTCACCAGTTCACCTCCTGCATCCCCGTCAGTGCCACAGCCCCGCTGCCACCACCTCCTGCCAGCACGACCCCGGCCCTGCCACACCATGGCACCAGCAGCACCAAAACCCTCACCACCTCCAGGCCACCACCCAGACCTCTCAGGCCCACAGGAGCTGTGACAGAGACTCTGGCCAAGAAGTTCCACAGGCCAGCAGACTCGTACCTGTTGAGCTCTCCAAAGCCACAGGTATGGGAGCACAGTGGTGGGACCAGGTGTGCTGTGCCATTACCTTTCCCCAAACTCCCACTGTATCCACCTGCCTCCAGCTCACGGGCTTTTGTCCTCATTGAAGAATTTCCACAGCCCTGGCTGCTTTCTTCAGAAAGCTTTTAAAGCTATTCACTTAGCACTATGCTAATGCAGGGCTACAAAACAAACACAAAACTTTCAGCCCTTAAAAACTATTTTCTGATATTTAACCAGACATCAGACGCTGCTCCACAGAGAGTGACTAATGACCTGCTTTCTGTGAGAGGGGAGAAAAACTTAATTATGTCCATTAAATTACTTCAAATATTTTTCCTCTGAGAATATGAATTATTTAAACTCAACACAGAGAAACCTGAAACATTAGCAAAAGCCTTCTGGGACTCACTATGTAAATCCCCCCTTGAAACAGATGGGGAAAGCATGGCGAGCTGCCACGCAGCCACTGAAGCAATCAACAGCACTGAGATTTCAATTCCATAGCTTTAATAAGGTCTTCTTAAGGAGAAGCCACTGTCCGGGGCTCTGGGAAGAGCGTCCCACTGCCTGGAAGGAGGAGGCACCATCAGCACAGTGTAAAACTGAAAAGCCTCGAGTTGTTCCTGAGGGACAGATCCGATTCCGCTGGAAAAGCTCCTATCGCACCACCCGCCTCAAGTGCAGGGGACCTCTACCTGTCTGGGACTTATCCAGCTGTTTTCTCTCAATCTTTATTGGAGGTGAAAAAGGAGAGGTCCATGGTATCACTTGGACACAAGGCACGGGCAGCAAAGGGTCTTTTCAGCCGTGTTTTACTGAGGAACTCATCCCCTCTGCCAGGTCCCAGCTGGCAGGAAGGTGCCCAGGGACAGCATTAGCCCTGGAACTCTCTTTGTTCACACACTCCAAGGAGGAGCACAGCAGCCAGTATCCCACATTCAGGGTTGATCACACACCTGGCTCTCACCTGCCTTCAAAAGTGAGATGGAAGTAGTCACAGACCCTGGTAGGTTAGTGGGACACCCATTAAGGCACAGGGTGCCCATTTTTACAGCTGCCATTAAACAAAACCTTCTGAGCTGCAAAGTCACCAAATTATTAAACAGCACGACAACAGCAATAATAATGTTCCAGACTAATTTTAACATTACAGATAAAGTTGTGGGAAATGCCTGATGGCATCCAGAGCTCTGGCACTGCCCAGCCAGCACCGTGCTGCAGAGCAGCCCCAGGCAGTGTGTCCCACCTTCCCAACCACCACCCTCCAAATGAAGCTCTGGTGGTTCGCTGGGGAGCTGCCATTGCCCAAAGAAACATATTGCTGACAATAGGCAATTCCACTTGTCCAAGCTGTGCTCAGGCACCTGAGTGGTCTGGCAGCAGCACAGACTGACACAGATAAAAAGCTGCCAGAGGACACCAAGGGCCACCTTTACCTCTGCATCCCCCGTCCTTCTCCTCAAAGCCGGGGCCACACGTGCATTTCCCGATGGGGACCAGCCACTCGCCCTCAGTGCTGCAGTGCATCCGGGGGGGATTATCCACGTCCACCTCAGCATGAGTGACACAAGTGCCCTTAACTTCCACCAGCGTCGCGAAGGCCGTCTCTGCCACCGTGTCTGGGAACACGGCCAAGTTCTGCACGGTGCTGAGGCATTTCTTGTAATAGACCCGCACAGAGACCAGCGCCACACAGGCGCCCATGTCCTGGAAGCCCAGGTGGAAGCCTCTCTTGCTCAGGTGCCCTATCTCCCTCAGCTCGGTGTTCAGCTTCATCTTGCGCTCGCCCAGGTCCCCCTGTGTGAAACTCTCGTCAGCAGCGATGGTGTCGATCTTGGTGTGCTTGTTCTCGTGGACGCTCCGGCCCAGGTCGGAGTCAGACTCCACATAGTACAAGTTGAAAGTCTCCTTGCAGGTGCTCATCACGCCAGGGATGCTGTTGCAGTCCCGCAGGGTGAACTTGAGCTCGATGAAGATCCTCTGACCGTCGCGCCTGGCGATCCAGCCCGTCTGCAGCCAGTTGTTCTGGTTGGGCTCCATGACATTGCACACCTGGTACGTGCGGATCGGCCTGTAGTTCTCATCCACGCCGCTGATCTCTTCCCACTGGAAGGGGACATCCAGACAGCATTACTACACTAGTCACACCGTCATATGAGGACATCAAACACCTTTGCACACAGCAGCAGCAGCTTCTCTGCCAGGAGAAGTTTTAGCTGGAACAGGACAAATCCTCTGACTGCAAGTGAAATGGTGTTTCCCCAAAGCTACCAGCAGAGATTCTGATCAGCGAAATGATGATTCAACCCTCACAGCCTGAATGACGACCTGGCAATTTCCCAAAGCAATTCTTTCTGGGGGTAAATTTATGCAAAATAGCCAAAATGTACCCAAAACAGAGTTTCTTCTGCAGACAAACAGCTGGGCTGCACAGATGACTCCAGGATCTATCACTATTCCCTCTGAACACTTTGTTTTCATTCCAGAAAAGCAGTTGTAGACCGACCCCAGCAGCAAAGCCAGGGCCTGATCAAACAAACCCTACATGACACAGAGCTCCTGACAACTCCTCCAGCCACAGCCCTCAGAGTCCAGGGGCTGGACTGATCCCTAGCCCTCATGCTGGTGTGCAAACCACAACACAAAGCCTTAACTGGCCAGTGTTTATCTGCTTGTTTTAGGAGTGTAAAATCCATTTCGAGGAGGGACTCCACAGCAGTTGCACTCAGCCAACACCCCTCTGTTCCCTGGGGTGCCTGGTGCTGATCATGACAAATTGCCCATCGCCCCTGGAACGAGGAGACCCCACGGCTGCCAGTCCCCACCCCAGCTCCGTGGAAGCAAAGTGCTCATACTGCAGGACTTCAAATGCTGCTGAGCACCGAGAGGCCAACAGACCCTCTCGGGTGGTGCAGGGGGGCAGTCCCACCATTGTGCTTACCCCGTTCGACGGGTGCGAGGTCCAGCCCAGCTCTGCCTGAGATTCCTTCGAGTCCAGCAGGACAACTGCAGGGAAGACAACATGTTAGCAAACCCACTGACACAGGAGACGCCGGTAAAATCCACCCAGTCCATCCACCGGGAAGCTCAGTGCCATGCTGCGCTGGGTCCCAGGGCACGGGAGCAGCCGTGTCGTCACCGTGTGAGGACCGTGCGCTGCAGAGCTCTCACTGCACACCCACAACAACCTCGCAGGCAGCTCACCAGTGCCCTAACGAGTGTGCCATCCCAGGGACGATCCCTCTAACACCACAGCCAACCCCGCCACTGTGCCGTGCCTGTAGCGTGCGGATACTGGCACTGAAAGGTACCGGCGGCTGCTTTGAAACAGGGATTTCCCTGGCAGACGACACCCTTCTTCCACAAAACAGCCAATTCTTTCTTTGACAGGAAGAGCTATTTTCCTCAATTCACAGCTTCACGATGCTTCCACATCTCCAGCCGGCAAACAGCCACAGCCCCGGACCGGCAGGTTGAGCCTCGTCTCGGGCTCAGGCACCGGTAGCGCGGGGCGCGGCAGCGCATCCCCGGCGGCCGTTTCGCTCGGAGCGCTCCGGGATGCTCCGGGATGCTCCGGGATGCTCCGGGATGCTGCTCCCGGCGCCGGGGCCGGGCGGGTCCGTCCGTGGCAGGGCACCTCCGCGCAGACGGACAGCGGGGCTCGAACCGTGTGCCTGTCACCGTACCGGCACGAGCCCGTTCCGCCCAACGCCTCCGGTGATCGCGGGAACCGGGACGCCCCGGGCTGACCCAGCCACTCCGCGGGGACCCGGCCGGCCTCTCCCGCTCCTCCCGCAGGTCCCCGCGCCCCGGACAGCGGCGGCACATCCGCCCCACGACCCGGCCGGAGCGTCCCCGCCACCGAGCCGAGCCGGCCCCTCCCGGTACCGCAACGCGCAGCCCGACTCGCCCGCCGGGTCCGAGGCGGCGGCACCGCGCACGGGGGACACGGCGGTGCCGGAGCGGCGGGGACACGGGAGCGCGGGAGCCGCCCTCGCCCCGCCCGGCTCACCCTGCTCGGCGGCGGCGCGGGGCAGCGGCGGGAGCGGCAGGAGCAGCGGGAGCAGCGGGAGCAGGAGCGGCGGGAGCAGCGGGAGCAGCGGCAGCCCCGGGCCCGTCTCCATGGCGCCCCAGCCCCGCGCCCCCCGCGCCGCCGCCGCGCGCGCGCTCCCCGCCCCGCCCCCGCCCGCTGAGCCACGCCCCGGGGGCGGGGCCGCGCCCCCCACGGCCAATCGGCGGGAAGGGGCGTGGCCGGGGGGCGGTGCTGGGCCGGTCGCTCCGAACCGACCGACGGCGGGTCCGGGTCCGGGTCCCGCCGGGGGAACCCCCGGTACCGGCTCCGGGCTCGCTCCTGCCGGGACAGGGGCACCCACGGGCCTGAGCTTTGGGCTGCCTGCAGCTGCTGCCCAGGGCAGGGGCTGCCCGCCCCATGGAAGCCAAAGGGCTACTGAGGCAAGGGCAGCCCTTGCTGATGCTGAGACGCTGCGGCCACAATTAGCGGTGCTGTGCCGCCCCCAACGCCCAGATGATGTTTGTTCCCTGCTGGTGGTAGCTCTTCTCTGCAGCACAGGGCCCAGGAGAGCAGCGGAGTAAATCTCATTCCTGCCCTGGCCTGCAAACGATGCCTGGGAACATCAGTTTTACGTCGAGCCTTCCTGGGTTGAAATTTGATTCACAGCTTCGTCCCGAGGTCTTTCAAGCCCAGCAGCTGCTGTAAAAACAAAAGTGGTTAGAAACCCTGGGAAAAGGCAGGCCCAGGCAGAGTGGGTCCTGCCAGCCCCGTGCCAAGGACAGTACTGTGGCAGCAGGCACCGGGAAGCTGTGGGAGAGCTGCTTGAGCTGGGGTGGTGATTCCTGGCTCACTGCAGCCTAGGTACATGCCACCAGGCCCACGGCCTCCTGCTCTGGAGGAGGAACTTGACAAGGTTTGATTACCACTAATTGTAGGTGTTGCAGGTCCCTGCAAAGTTTAGTCAGGCTGAACACCTGCCAGCTTCCCACCTGATGGTGGATACCGTGACACCAGAGCTTGCTTATGTAGCAACATTTGTTCCTGTGGGATGTTCCCTTTGCTGTGATTATGTGCTGTCAAATGTAAAACGTTGCAAGTCTAGAATAAAAATACTGAACCTCCATCTGACTCAGCCCAGCCGGGCTGTGGCACCCTGTGCGTGGCCCCTGCTCACGGGGTGGGTGCTCGCACCACAGGCCAAGCCCAGCTGGACACCTGGAGCCAGAGGGTGTTTCCAGCTTTCCCTTCATTTCTCAGCACTTCTGCAGATGGTCACTATTTTTCTTTCTGTGTTAACCTGACTGGTGACAAAGTCCCCATTCATTTGTCAGTGGTTTTCCCATCCCTGAGGCCTCAACCTGGGCCGGTGCTTTGGGTGCTGCTGCACCAGCCCCTGGAGCCCGATCCGCTCCCACTGTGCAACTGCAGCCCAGCAGCTCCTGGAACAGCCCTGATGATTGGGGGCACAGGTTCATATGATCAAAACTCTCTCTCCATCACGTTACAGGGCAGGGAAGCAAAAGACAGGGTTTATTTATAATCTTCCTCAAGTGGAAACCAGAAGAAGTGACCCGTTATTACTGGAGATTTCTCAAGCCACCCAGGAAGAAAAGTGATATTTAGTTGTCGTTAAAGGCTCAGAACTGCATAACAATTTCATGCTATGTTAACTTCTAGGTTTTCTTTCGCATATAAATTTTTAAGGAGTAAAATAGAAAAACCGAGGCACTTGACCTTTAATCACAGTTATTTGTGTGATCAGTCAAGTGTGGGAAAAAGCCAGTTTGTGCTTGAAAGATGCCCTTTAAAGCCAGATTGCTCTAATATGACACACAACTCTCACAGTGTAATGCACAGGATCTCACTTGCCCGCCTTCAGGCACAGGAGCTCCTGTTTAGTATTCACACACTGGGTCTTGCTGCTGGGACAGTGGAAGGTATCAATGTCATGAAGCAAATCAGTCCAAGCCCCTGGGACAGCTCCATTCACTGCCCCACAGGCGTGTGCACTTTGCTGTCAGTGAGGAGCCAAGCAGGGAAGAGGATTTTGGATGTGTATGGACGATCCGATGTCAGATATGTTTCACTAGAAGAAGGGTCTGTCATGCAAATGTAGCACATGGCTTTTCCACTTATCTGAAATATTATTCCAAGCACTTATAAAATCTTCATATTAGAACAGCCAGAGATATTTTAATCAAGATTTTGAAGTATCATATTATTTTGGGGAAATGACCTCATGAATTTTTCTTTGGCAACCCCAGATGACTAAAAGCCATTGCTGGGGTGAAGGAAGCAGAGCAGCCTTTAATGGAGACTATTGGATTTCCTCACTGTCAGGCACAGTGTATGAGCAGGGCCAGGCCTCTGAGCCCAAAGATGAGCCAGGGAACGGGACAGAGGGGTCAGGGAACACAGCAGAGGGGTGCTGTCCTGGGATGGCACACCAGACAGCTCCTCGAGCACCAGCAGCACAACAAGGGGCCAGTTTCTGCAGGCAAAGGAAGAGGAATACCCAGATTGTCACCTCTGCTGCTCACATCCAGCTCTGGGGCTGCTGCTCTGACCTGCTCCGAGGTGCTGCCACAGCTACAGGATGAGCCTGTGGGGACAAGCAAAGACACCGGGTCATCCAGGCTCCAGATTGCCAGGGGAACCTGTGCAAGGAGCAGGGCCAGCCCAGAAAACGTGTGATTACTGAGCTGGGATATTACCTGCTGTAAGTGGAGACAGAAAGGCAGTTTTGACACCACGGTGAAAATAACCCTCCTGGGGAAAAAAAATCAATACAAACACGGAGGAAAGAGAATCAGAATCCAAGACCATCAGTTCCTGAGATAAAGAGTTGAAAGTCTCAGTGGGAGGACAGCCAGATCTGGACTGAAAAACAAAACTTTGCTTCTTTTGCTGACAAATTACTTTTAATGCGAAAGGACAAAGGAGCCGGGAGGATGCAGGCCCTAAGGTATGGCTGGAAGAGCAATCCTTGACAAAAGACAGAGGAGGCAGAAACCTCATGGAAGCTTTTGCACTTCTCCTTTCTCTTCCACACTTGATAGGATTTTCCTACAACGGAAAACAAGGGATTTGTGCAATTTCGTACTGTTTGGGGCATGTCACACAAACATGCTCCAGGACTTTTGCTGCTGCTGCTGTGACAAAGGCAGAGCCAGAGCAGAGGAGGCAACAGCAATACACCACAAGTGTGTTTGGCACTACTACCTGGCAGAAATCACAGTGAAAATGAAAGCTGATGTAAAGCTTCCCCACAAATCTCATATTCAAAGCTGCACAGCTCAGCCTCATGGCTGCAAAGGGAAAACCCTTCCACCTTCTAGGTTGTTTATCTGCAAATACAAAGCAACCAGAGCTGTGCAGTTGTTTTTAATAGCTCAGTCTTTCTGTCTGATGTGTACTCTTTGCTTCAGGATCTCTGCACTATAAATGTTTTGCAGCAGCTCTTTAGCTTTTAAGGTAATCACATAAAAGACCCTTGACTGCATAAAGGCAGCTAATCTGGGTAAATGCCTTTAAGCATCTTTACATTTCTTGCTAACGGATTTCCAGGCAGCCCACAGAGATCCACGTTCTAGAAAATAATGTAAAATAGAGTAACTGTCTAATTTTTTTAAATGCCTCACATTTGTCATATACTGAGAAAATTCAGAGCTCCAGGCAGCATAAGATCATTACACTTACATAAGTCATGCCCCATTCTGTCATCAGCTTCATCATCATCAGCTTCTTCCCCCTTAGCCTGCCCCTCTGCCGTGGCTTCACTTACGCTGCTGGAAAGGCAGAGGTGCAGAGTGAGAGCTCAGGTGTGGGAGCCTCTGAGAGCTGGGGGAGGAATGAGGATGTACCTCAAGAATAATGGTTCCAACAACCACTAAAGTAATTTTGACACCAATTTGAACAAAGGAGTTGTCCTACCTTTGATTTGCTTTCCTTTTTTTCCTGTCTGGTTTCATTAAAACCACTTATAGAGATTTGCAGCAGTTCTGTTTGAAGTGCTGCCGTCAGGATTTTCATTTTCAGTGGCATTGGAAATGATCTTACAGCAGGCTGGTTACGTTTCACGAAGGGATCTGCAGCGTGTGGCCATCCCTCATGGTTGGAGGCATTTCAGACAGGCCAGATCTGCTGGTCCTGTGGCTGCTGAGGTGACCATCTGGCCCCGAGCACCAGGGAAGAAGTTCCAGAGTGGCCACAGCAGAGGCCAGTGGCTGCCCTGGTGCCAGGCTCCCACCACATCCTGAGCTCTTCCCAGGCCTCCTTTGGTGGCTTCAAGCAGTGCTGCACTGAATCTGCAACCCAAACCTCGGTTAATTTGAAGGCTAAGTAAGTGCAAGACTGGTTCATGCTGCTCCTGAGGGGAACGTGCCAAAGGGGAACCCCAAAGTGCCAGTGCACCTCGGGCCTGGACTCCCCACTTTCATGGTGTTTCCCTATTTATTGAGAGCTTTTTTTATGTTTAAGTCTTTGTGCTGATCACCATTTAAAATTACCAAGGTTTCTAACTTTCTTGGCCCCTCACTAATGTGGCAGTAAATGCCCTTTAGCAAGGAAGGCACTGAAGTTGCAGCACTGAGCTGCCGTGGATTTCCGTGGAGTGATGCTGTTCTGGCTCCTACTCATTAGGCAATCAGAGATGCAACTTGCATGGCACGCTGATGAGGAAAGACACTTCAGGACACGCTCTGTAACTCAATCACCTCAAGACACTCGCCAATTACCCCCAGTCACGGGGTGAGGGTGACAGGGAGGTCACACAGAGAAGAGTCTTTTTCATTTGTCTGTGATAGAAGAGGGGAAT